AAATCAGCCTCCTATCGAAACACTGCGGCTGTCTTCAGTATTGATGACGACGATGAGGAGGACGATGAACTTCCCGAGCTTTCTCTTCAGCCTAATCCTCGTACCCTTCCCAAAGAATCTGCGGACAAGAAGCTTCATTCAACTTTGGTCACAAACCTCGAAACTTGCTTACCACGCCAGTTAATTCATCTTCAGGATTGTCGAAGAATGCCTGGCGTGACTAACAGTTTCGACTGTGTACTTTTGGGACCTGATGAAATGCCATCTTATCGGGGTATTATACTCATCACAGAGAAATGCATGATAGTGGTAAGAGAGCGCGAGAAACCGTTATTAGAGACGTTGGGAAACTTTGTTCAAAAAGCCTTCCTCAAAAAGGTGGCGATCCCATATAAGACTGTGGATGGGATCGTTGAGGTTTCATTTCCCATAAGTCAGGTGACGAAAATAACATCTAAAAAGGTGACTCCAGAGGTTATTTCATTCCATTGTGTCACTGATCCTTCTTTGGAGACCCGAGAGATCATTCGTTTGTATATCCCCAAAGCGGGCGATGCTGTGAAGGTTATTAAGACTGCTGTTTTCAATAGCAATGGAATCAGCTAACTCTCCTCCTTTGTTCTCTCCAATCTGTGATTTTTCCCCATGTTTTTTTGTCTTTTTGCTTATTATATTTTTCAACCGTGATGAGTACGTCTCACGTCTCTCACCCACTACTACTCTGTCCATCCATGTACACATGCCTTTGGCGTCATTTTTACTGACCTAATCATTGGGAATAAATTTCTTTCGTAAAACTTGTGGGTTACATGTTCTGTGTTTTGAGCTCACTTAATTGTGTAGCGATAGTGGTGAAGTGTGTTTGTCTGATGATTTCCATGTGTATAACGTCCTGTTCTTTCCTCTTGCGCTTTAGCACACTTTTGGTGCTATTCGTAGTTGTAACTGCCTGCTTGGGTCGGTTCGTGCTTGGATTATGAAACATGACTGATAAACGCACGAGACCCTTAGATTTGACTAAACACTGTGCTAACCTTCGAGAATTTGGTTGAAATTGGCTCAAATCTACCCACGCATTCACTTTCTTCACTTGAACGCCTCAATATCCTGCCACGATCCTCCAGACTGATAGTTTTCAATGAAATCCAATCGTTGTAAGTGACTATCAATGCCAAACCTACCAACTATAGAACTTTGTTCATTCTAGTTTCGGTCAGAAT